ATTTGTTATTTGACAGTTTTGTTAGTGTATAATCCACAACCATTTGTTTCATGTCAGATTTTGTAATGCATAATCAATACCAAGTGGCAATATGAATTTATCATAGTTATTTTACATCAACTGCACATATTTACATATTTTTCCATTCAATTCCATCTATCACAAAGTAGAATTCCACTTATGTCCTCGCTTTAAATTGTTTATAAGCTCACCTTCCCGATGGTCAAGTAAGCTTTGCCAGGGGTCAAATATGTCAAAAGCTTCATACGACCTCTTCTGAAGATCCGAAATTGTCATCATATTAGGCTGGTAGCTTTCTTATATAGAGTCATACATGTATTACGTTGATGAATTAAATTTATTTGGATTTATACACTGACACGCAAAGGAACCACAACCCCCCTTAAATGTCCATAATCTATATTATTAATTAGCTGTTGTTAGCTGTGTTTAACAGCATGGTATCATACATATTCACCATCAATACACGGTAATTAAATCTGTCACACTACGCCTTCTTGTGTCCGCGAGACTTCAATACATAGCCCGATTAGCACGTGGTTCCGATACACGATATACCTAGAATAAGCCGAGATACTGTGATGACCCGTCTCTACGGCATTAAGTCGCGTCGCGTTGCGGTTGGGATGCCCCTGAAACGCGTCATCTACGTGACGTCAGTCTCCAATGGCTCATGCGACACCGTCCAAACGTGTTTCTTATGCAACAGAAATCCCCTTAGTCGTCATTGAAGGCAATTGGAAGCTCAACTGTAAATTGACGTTATTCTACAACCTGTCGTCGTGCCGTTTGTCCACCAACATAACGTAATTATTCAACTAGACAATGCTCGGTGCCATGTGGCGTGACGTGCAATGGACCATTTTCGCCAAACAATGTCGACACGTTACCTTGGTCAAAATACAGTCCCGACCTCATGCCAATAGAACATGTGTGTACATGTTGGATCGACGCATTCGAACGCGCCACAATCCACCAGAGATTCTAAGCGCACTGGAAGAGTGGCAGAACATCCCTATGACATAAATAAAGTATCTTATCAACTCTATGCATCGCAGAATTCAAGTAGCAACAAATGCTAACGGGGTCTTACTCGTTATTTCAGTAGGAAAGTTGTAATGGTCACCACCTCTTCAGTATTGACTGTTGTCCTGCCAAAGTGAGTATCGCTAGCGCTTAAGTAACTAAAATATTCAATAGAAAAGATGTGTATCTTCAATTGGCTATGTTACTTAAACGAACATACTATAATTTAGAAAGAATATTTAAAACTATTAATTAATACATGTCATACAAGTCAAGTGTCAACGACAAAGCAGAACACATCGTCTCAAAATGTCTAACAAATGGACAAAATCAAACAAAATCAAGGTCTACGTTTGCATCATAGTCTTTGTTCATATTTCACCCGCACTACGTTTTTGTTTACACTTAAATGTTTTTTGACTTTTCGCATTTAAATGATGTCTTGAATTACTTGATACTCATTTCAGTTTAAGATTATTCTTTTAAATTTTGAATTAATCTTTCCCAATGTCAAGTCTGAAATTGATATGGCATTATCGGTTTGCTAGTACAATATTAATCTAGACATTCATTTAGAGACTCCAAATTTATCTTAAACCATGGTTTGTGTATCATGACTTACACAAATTAACGATAAATTCAAAAATCATAATTCCAAATTGAAATGGTCGATTTCATGAAGCGTCGAAATGAATAGATCTGAAGACAAGATCATCATGAACAGTTTCACAGTTCATTAATTTTGTTCGGTTAGAAATTCAGTCCATCACCCCATTAAATTACTATTGAAACTATATCATAACTATTTCCAATAGTTTTGTAAACCCGTACTATTGTTATTCGAACCATTCAAATGCAACCCGTATAACTTTTGAGAAAGTTCTCACGTCATTATCACTATATGAAATCAATCGCCTTACATATCTTTCCTATGTAAATCTTCATAATATTCTGTTGATATTTTCCGTCGAAATTCGAAAGTCAGAACATGAAGATTGTAACACATTAATAGCTTTAAAGAACATTCTGTACTGAATATAATCGGGAGAGAATCTCTCGACCTCTTGAACGTGAGTCATTCACTCCTGAAATAAACGTGAAAGTGGAACAGCGAACGTGTACGGGTCTGTATAAAACGTTAATGTATTGGTTATCTAACAAACCGGTTCTAAAGTATTGTGACAGAACAAAACTAAATACAGGTGACAGACTAATTAAAATTAGACTAGGTGTCGGTACTTGATAAAGCTCTACACGATCCTAAAATCAGTGTAGACCAGGACTACCCTCACGAGAAAAACAGGATAAACAACCCTCCTCCCATGGGCCTACTGTGTGTTCACCACACCAGCATCTAAGGGGTACTTAAAATGACAGGCATACAGTTTGTCATGTGGTATTGACCTGTCCCTTGTTAAAGGTATAAACATCTTCATTGGCAGTTATATAGGTTGTTAGGGCAACATGACCACCCGCTGACAGATATTTTTCTTTCAATGTGATATCTTTACCTGAGAATATGAGCAGTGATGGCACATTACCCATTCACATGTGGTCACATTGGATTATGATGGGCCGTACCTGATTAAGGTCATCTTGTGTGATTTCAAGGTAATTAATTCCTTGTCAATTAATCCAGTTCATTGTCTGTTCACCAGGTACATATGTATACAGATATATCTGTTCACAGTAAAGACCTACAGGTACATTGTAAGATACTTTGGCTGTCCCTTGGTCAGGAAGTGACAGGCCCAGGCACAATTTCATTTCGGTAAACTAATATTTTACTTGGAATTCCTAATTTAATACAAACAATTGTATGTCCCTTAATTAGAATATTTAAATTCTCAATTAGATGATTGTTTTAAAAACAAATAATCTATCATGAGTTCTGTTATCAGCATGAAAGGTTGAATATCAACCTTAAAGCTGACAGTTAAAAAGCTTTCAACTGAGATTAAAAAAACACAATTTTTTTCTTCTTCTAGTTTTGAGATCTTTCCTAGTGACTTTCTCTTCCGGCTATCGTTTCTAAGGAAGTGCTGACATTTTAGTTTGTCCCTGCTTAATAACGAGTATGGGTCTCGCACGGTATGAAAAGCGCATTACCTGTCAAAATCGATTATTTTACCACTGACCGTCTTGCGATTCAATACACTGCGCACCCTGATTGGCAACCGACATGTTACTATTTAAAATTGTCAAAGGTACCAAATGTGTCGTTTTAGAAGTTGTACACACAGAGCATGCGTACGCATCATTTTTCTGAAGTTGTTTGGATATCATTTTAGATGAAACAAAACAATTTCGAGATTTCTATCTAGAATAGGTGTTAAACTCACTAACCTGAAGACTTTGAAACACTGCCAAGCTGGTTGTTACCTATGACACATTTCGGAAATTGTGTATCCAAAGAAAATGATATATCATTGAAAATACTTCAATGAATCCAATATATCTATCATCGGATTTTTAGGTGCATAGCGAATCGCACCCCTTAGTCTTGGTCGTGTAGACGTTTGACTAGCAAAACGCGTTAATACTGCATAATGCGACACTCATAGGTGTGTAGTCAATAATGTGAAGTTTGCTATTCTCATGGAAATAATTGGAATTAATTTTGTTTTCACACCGGATGTTATTACCAGTTGGATATCTGAGAGGTAGGCATCAGATAAGCGTTAGTCGTACGTTTATTTTTTTT